AAATAACTGGGAATAATCTGAGCTTACACATGATGAACTAGAGTCAGCTGTATTCTCAAGTTCAATTAAAACTGCTGCAGAGCCTGATTCAATTAATCACTTAATTATTCAAAACACATATTTCTACTTGAAGAATGAATATTTTAAACTCTTTTTCAATCTCTTAAAAAATGATTATTATTCTGAATACTGAAGAGATACTACTGAAGTAATTCTTATACAATTTAATAGAAAAGCTTTAATCTCTAAGTTATATAAAGTAATATCTCTGTTGAACTGTTTAAGAAAAATTCTAGAAAAGATAATAGCTACTAGATTATCTTTTATAAGCTCTATTAGTAATTCTCTTCTACTTAATGAATAAATGAGAGATAGAAAATAATGTTCTATAATTAACACTGTTCTTTCAGTTATTCATAATATTTAAATAATAAAGTATAAAGATCTGATCTCAACTGCAATTTTTATTGATATAAAAGATATATTTAATTATATTTTAAAGTTTAAGATGATTCAGACTTTGAAGATGTTAAAACTGTCACTTTCTCTAATAAAATGAGTTGATTATTTTGTATCTAAAAGAATTATATAATTATTCTTTGATGAAATGAAATAAAATAAGACTGAGATCAAAATAGAAGTATTATAAAAATCTTTAATCTTATCTGTTTTATTTGTAATATACACTGCATATCTATTCAAGAATAGAGATATGAAAATAGTGAGATCTTCAAGCTATATAAATAATATTAATTTAGTCTACAGTTCAAAGATAATTAAAGAGAATTTAAAAGTAATTGAAAAAGCAGTAAAGAAAATCTTTGTTAGAGTAGATATCAATCTAATTCAATTTAATATAAATAAAACTGAGTTAATTCACTTTTTTCCCAGATTCAATGAGAAAAAACTAAGTCTAACTCTTTTAAATAAAGAGATTAAACTCAGTTTGAATGTTAAATAACTAGAACTATGATTAAACTTCAAGTTGAATTTTAAATATTATATTCAATAAAGAATTATCAAGACAGAGAGACTACTGAATAGTGTAATTAGACTATTAAATACTAAGAGAGATCTATTCTTTCAGACTATGAGATAGTTATACATAGCTTGTATCATCTCAGTAGCTGATTATAAAGTTTAAGTTTAATAAAATAATCAAGATAATTTCACTGAACTCTTTCAAAGTCTGTAAAACAGAGCTTTGAGAAGAATTCTGAAAGCATTCAAATCATCTTCTATTAAAGTAATGAAAATTAAAGCTTCAATTTCATCTTCTGCTATTCAATTTGAAAAGACCTGTATAAACTATGCTCTGAGAGTCATGAAGATGAGCTTAAATTATATAATCAGAGAAAGAGTCTCTTCTTTATTTCTATTAATCAACTCAGGAAATGAACTGAATTAAAATAGATTTCTTAATTGAAATGAGAATAATTCTTTGAAGAAAATACTCTCTCAACTGTACAGATTATATTCACTGCTTAAAAATCAATTTTCTTTATTAAATATTGAGAAAATTGATCATGAGAAGATATCTTCTTGAAGAGAAAAGCTGAAATCTCTCATAGACTTACAAATAAGTGAACTATCTAAAGAGAGAGAATGTAAACAGTATTTAAAGAAGATCTCTACAATTAATATAAAAGACTCTATTCTGATTTACTCAGATGACTTAAAAAATGAGAGTTTGAACAGATTAGATGCAGACATTGCTTATACTGAAGATAATATCAATTTCATCTTAGATTTCTGAATTTTGAGCTGTGAATCTGAAATCTTTGATGCTGAACTATTTACAATAGTAAAAGCTTTCAAACTTATTGAGATAAAATCTCATAAAAGAGAAAATAGCTTGAAAGAGATATGAATATTCTCTAATAGTCAAGCTGCTTTGAAAAGACTTAAAAATAGTCAGATTTATAATGATCAAATGAATCTTGAACTGATTTTAAATTCTGTTATAAAAATTCAAAAGAGAAGAATATTAAAACTAATAATTCATCTACACTGAGTTTCTGCTTATATGAATATTTATGACAATGAATTAACTGATTCAGCAGTAAAAAAGATTTCAGAATTAAGTAGATCTATTCAAAAAACAGTGTTCTGATCTTTTATAAAGAGAAAGATAAAAGAATCTTATTTAAATAAGTAAAATAAAAGCTGACAGAAATAAAAGAAGAGTATATATTATTCAAGATTTAAGATAAAATCTAAGTGAAAATCTTGTTTAATTAAATGTAAAAAGAAAATATTCTCATCTATAATTCAGCTGAAACTAGAACATGATTATTTTAAATTCTATATATAAAGATTTGATGATAGATTTGATTCAACACAATGCTTATTCTGCAATGCAAATGAAAATCCTAAGTATATTATAATGCATTGTGTATTATACAATAGTCTCAGAGCCTGATTGAAGAAGAAGTCTGATTTAAATCAATTAAATATCAGGTTCTTATTCTCAACTGAGACAGGAATTAAATACTTAATAGACTTTCTATCAGAAACTCAAGCAGCTATAAGAAAATGACTGAATTCAGAAATATCTGAATATGAAGAGATGGAAATTGATTAGATATAGTCTGTTAAAACAGCTATATACTATCTTTTAATAATTTTATTCTATTATAGTCTCTCTTTACTTTACTTTTTCTTTTCTGTTCTTTTCTATCTATCTATTTAATATGTCTATCTTTAAGACTATGTTCTCTTTTCTTTTGTCATAATATTATCAAATGATTTCAAAGTATCATAATGTGTGAAAATACTGCAATTTGTAAACAGTTTTTGTATTCTGAGCTGGAATTTTCTGATTTTATATATTTGAAATTGATAAATATATAATAGTTGACTTTATAAATATAGAAAAAACCCTGAGAACTAAAAGTTCTCAGGTAGATGTCATAGTCTCTGACTGCATACATCTATAATTAAAGAATAGTAATAATAATAATAATAATAGACATAGCTATATTATTCATCAGATATGTAATATCTGCAGAATCAGAAGAAGTGTATTCATATAAATATCTCATACATTTAAGATGTCAGAACTCTCAGATCTTTCACTGACAGTCTCTTTATAAGATCTTGTTACAGAGTCAGAGTAACTAATAAGTAAGCTTCTATCTATTTAATAGAAACTCAATGTCTACTTAGCTAGTCTATGATCATTTATTTTCTTATTTCTTACACATTGTTATGTGTTTAAATATCTTCTCAATAAGTAATTATTTCTAATGAGAAGATAATAAATATTTTCCAAGTATAAGAGATCTATACTAAATAGATTAGTATTAATATATAGATCTTATATAATAAATGTAGAAAATATTAGAGAAGAAAACAAGAGAAAGTATGAGAATCAGCAATCAAAGTGAATATTTATATATGTATGAAATGAAGCTTTGAAGTGAGAGAATAGAAACTTCATAAATTTCCCAGCTGAGAATCAGTACCTGAGAATTAAAGCTTTCAGCAGAAGAATCAGAGCTTTTAACAGAAATCTATGAAGTGTAATAAAATAGTCTTATATAATTAAGCACAGCCTGCTACACTATCTTTATAATAGATATAGAAGTGTAGAGACTGCAGTAGTAACAGAGTAATTAAAAAGCTTATATTAAAATATATAGTAGATTCAGAAATCTCAGATTTCTGTTAGAGTAGAGATATATATACTCTAGAAAATAATGTGTAGTTTTCTTCAGAGAGTGAGATCAGATCAGTCTCAGTACAGATATATAAGATTCTATTAATCTATTAATAGAGCTTAACTGATTCAAACTTATAATCAGATTAAGTAATTTGAATTGTAATATAATAGAACTGAAGCAGTGATTAATCAGTAATATTATATAGATAGTTATCTAGAGAAGCTGTATAAGTAGACTTAACTATCTTGCTTAAATAGTGAGCTCATGAGCTACAGAGTCATTATAAGAATATTATAGATATAGTACTTAGTATATTAAGAAGATTATATAAGAATTGTAGTCACTCTTATATATATTATTAGTAGAAGAAAATAAATCACTGACTTCTTTAATAAAAAGCCAGCATCTAGCTATTCTATATTATTAATAAGTGAATATTTCTCTTCTATTCTATAAGTAAGAATAGCTGAAGTGATACCTCAGTAGCATCTTACTATTATGAAAGAAGTAATTTGCTAATCTTGTATAGAAGTGAGATTCTTATATTTATCAATCAGATTCTTCTATATTACATCTGTGTAATATTATGAAGTGATTGAAAACTGGTTTGAACTGTCTGTAAAATAAATGAAATTATTCACAAAAAAGTAATAAACTATATAAAGTTGTAACAGAGTCTTAATATAATCAGAGATATAATAGACATCTACTATCTACTCTTATTACATTTTTAAAATAAGATTATAATTTTCACTTCTCAATTTTAAATTCATTTTATTGCTTTAAATGACTTGAATTTTATTTAAGTATTATCAAAAATTATTACTTTTTAAAAAATTAAAAATAGTTTAAAAAAAACTTTAAAATCTCTAAAAATAGTAACTTTATATCAAGAATGAAATTAAATAAAATTAAATAAAATTACTTTCTTAATTTTTTTAAGTTATAGTCTTATTTTAATATCTGATTAATAGTTACTTTGCATGTTTTTTTAATAATTAGTCTTAGCAGAATTCACATTAAGAAATGTATGAAATTAGATTAAATAAAATTAAATATTAAATTTATAATCTTATTAACCAGTCTGCTCTTGACTATATATAATTTATATAAATAGAAGTTTGTAATTATTATTTAATCTTTATATTTATCTTTTTACTGTAAATACTTCTAGTAGCTATAGCCTATCAGTATATATTATGTCAAGCTGTGAATCTCTAAATAATTACCTGTGAGCACTTATTCTTACACTTCACTTCACAAATAAGTTTAGTATTTAATATATTTAATTGGTTTTTCTAATATATATATGAGTTATATACTTCATAGAAGACTATAAATTACAACATTATAATATTGAATATCATGCTTTGGCTGGGAGAGTTACTGATATTTATTTCGTCTCAATACACATGACATTCACTCGTGATCTGCTATCTCTTTTCTCAGATTGTCAGAGACAATATCAGGAGAAACACTCATTTTCTCGCCTTGTGTTTCCTCTACCATTACCATATCATATCTGCAAGAATTTCTCTCAAGGTTTTGAAGGCTGCGAATATATTTGTCTGATACTGTTGTTGAATTTACTGGTTATGTCTATTGTCTATTATCAGAATTAGACCGCCAATGTGACTAACTTCGCAAGAATGGAATGGAGTGCCACGTACGGATTACAGACTACTGGCACGTTGGTTAAGATACTATGAAATGGTTTATCAACGATTCAAAAGGTCCAAAAGATTTCTCGACAGAGCAATGGTTTAAATGGGTGGTTTGAGAAACCATTTCTCTACCAATAAGTGTCCCCTGATTCCGCGTTTCTCGGGATTAAAGGAACTAACGAACAATACCGGTTCGGCCATTCTTGCTCTGCATATCAGGTCAAATTTAGAGCCCGGAGTCAAGGAATATTCGAGTGAGAAACGTTGAAATTTAACGAGAGGAAATAAATACAAATCTGCAAGGCATGAGAAACACCCAATCCATCCTTTCAGGGTTAACCTTGGAAGCATAGCGTCCATGGATAAATAACGCCTGGTGAGGAAATGCAGCAACGGCTATTATCCAGAAAAAATGTCCTCCTACATATCACGTCGGGATTGCCTGGCATACACTACTGATGTGCTGGCTCGATTCCCCCGTGGACTAGTCACACAAACATTGCGAGAAACGAATGCATTTTCAGCTCAACAATCAGACCTGCGCCGTGTTGTAGTTTCTCGGGGACAAGGTGAAGGCGAAGACAATGCTCCTGTCTCAATGCGTGGATCCAGGCGTGTCAAAAGGTGGCTTCCAAATATAGTGCTAAAATTTTGCTCAACCCGACCAGGGTGCAGAGCAATTCTTGTGCAACTCAGGGGCTCGGATCATTTTGGTCCGGATTTGATGCAGATTCTTTCTTTCAAATAAGTTAGAAGAAATATATTACCGCCCCAGCATTAACATTATCATCCAAACTGGAGGGTCCAGAGAATGCAACGGGAGGCTATATTGACTCTGTCAAACACCGTAGTTCATGCAGCCGCAAGCTGGTAAATCCATTTTTCCCTTCCTAAATGCCATATAGCCAGTAGAAAAAAAAGCACCATTCGCCCATTTGCTCTCAGCTGGGCAGCATGGAAACAAAGGATTCAAGCAGAGGGTAAACTAGGCGGGTGGCTGCTAGCTAACACTGCCGAAAGTTAGAGTTTGCTGCCATGCGGACATAAATACTGGTTACCAAGAAAGAACACATACCTCGGACACAACCTCCTCAAGGCAAACCGCTAGACAGTGGCACATCTGCCCGAGCATAGCAGAGCTAGTTCTTTTATTGTCCAGTTATTATCTCAACTGTGAATGCTCTGCAAGCCCGTCCGACTATGCAATTGTTGGTTCCCTTCGGCGACCCCCGCGGTTCATGCGCCTCATCGCGCAAACCAACCCGCGAACTGACCAGTCAACAGAACGTCCAACAACTACTACCTTCAAGCAAACCTTCAAAACCGTTCCTATAATAAAGCCTTGACACGATGGGCATGTTTCACGTCCTCATATTATTCACCGCGTGCACTGGTATTCCAGGCCTTTCCCATAGAATGGCTATGGCCTTTCTTGAAGTTGGTGGTGGTTGAAGCGTGTTCTCGACATCCCGTCATCCATACTTCGCCGAGCTTGTCTGCATCAGTGGTAGAGGGAATTGGCTGATTCTCTGCCCTATGTCGCCTTGCAAAATGACAGATCTTTGGCAGATGCAGAGATAGCGCGCGAATCAGCTTGGAAGTCAAATGTGTTCCTCCAAACCCGGACCCTAGTTAAATTTCGACGCGTAAAAAAGCTTGTACCTGTCTCCACTCCTTTGTCCTCCAATTTTGGAGCGCATTTTCCTCAGGCTATACCAGAATACCGTCATAAATACACCATCAGGGCGATGGTTCGGAAAAATAAAAAGCAAAGCTTTCCTCGCAAGGTTCCGCGATAATGGCAGTCTTAAGCGACGAAATAGGGGACAAAGGAGTGACCGGAACTGAGCGGACAAAAATGAACAGAACCAGATATAATGAACATTTGGAATAAGATTTCCTGCTGCCTGGGCTGCACTACAATATATATATTTATATATACCATCCTGCAAATCACTGGTGCGCCTCCTGGCGTGTCCTACTACTCTCGAATCGCCACTTAGGGTGAGATTTTCCTTGATTCAGTTTGTTGGTACGCGAGCTTACACATCGGAGAGGCTACCAACAGAGTATGCCGTCATGATTGCCAGGGCCCTTGATCTTGCATGCATCATATGTGCGGCCATGCTTGACGGGTACCAATATCGCTAATGCACAACACATGCGGGACGAGGCAGAATCGTTTCCCCAGTTGCCGCTCCGCAGCCGTATGTGAGAAGGAACCGTTGGCAGGAGACGCTCTTGCGCCTCAATTGTAGGCAGTAGACGGACCGCCCTGGACTTTTCTCGGGTGTGTATGGAGCAGCAAACTTAGCATCCACTTGTCAGTCACACTAACTACTGGACCATCGCGGACAACTGCCTGATGCAGTGGTTAAAATATATTTATAGCCCCACCCGCCATATGCCACATTCTGGGCGCGATTACAATTACCAGATCAGCTCTGCTCCCATGATCCCCTATGGGAGCTATTTAAATGTCCTAAAAGAAACCAACTTTAAAAGCGAAATATGGCGGAGAAATGGCACTAATGGACTAAAATTCCAGATGGAAAATAGGGGACCCTAAGGGGAAGCGGCTTCCAGGGATTGGTCCGCGATTGCCCAGTCGCTGATACCAAAGACAACCGCGTCTCTAGTGAGAGGGGCTCTACTTGCCCTTCTTGAGCTCCGCATTCAACGTCTTGCATGAGTTTAACGGCTTTGTGAACCCAAAGCTGAAATACTGCAAGGATCCCTTAGATGTCTGTATTGCCTTTATAGTCGCTGCAGTCAAACAACTACAGTGAGCGTTTCTGCCTCTGCTTGCATTTTCCCGTAAGGCTTAAAAGCGTGCCTATCCCCTCCCCAAGCGTTGTTGTTCATTTCTCCACCGTTCACAGTCACCCAGCGTCGACGATGACGAATAATACTTCTATTCCAGATCCAGAAACAATACGAGTGGCTCTGGAAGAAGCCAGAAATAGTGAAGACGGCCGAATCGATCCCAGAATGACGTCCATTCTCGAACTAGCTATTGGCGAAGTCTGGCGCAAAGTGCAAGCGGAGCCGGACACTTATATCTTGACCCGCGACGAATTCGCACTTTTCAACTACTTCCTCGATCGATTCCGGGGCCCAGTTGCTCAGCGCGCTGTGGAGCGGTATTGGAACAGTTGCAACGACCACCGTTCTGAGAATGACTGTCGACGTTAATATGATGCGTCACACGAAATGTTTTTCCCACTTCATTATAACATCCGCAAACAACCATCTGAATCCTGAGACACTACGCCTCCAACTCTTCTACCTACCTCGAAATTTCCGCTTACGGCCCCGCAATCACGTAGTTCAAAGCCACCCGTTTCTATCCAACGTTCGTCATACTCCCTGCGTCCGCGACTTGTTTCATGATTCTGCGGTCCCTTAGAATTTTTTTAACCGTTAAATCCGGCTAGATTTTGCTTCTTACAACATTTTTCTGTTCAGCGGCCTATTATATGCCTTTCTGAACCATTGGCTCTATGCTTGTAATTTTTATATTACGTTCTTGTTTGCGCATCTACATTCGTTGCGATAGTTTTTATTTTTTTTATTTGTATTTCTGTTGACTCCAAATCGGTTCTACTGCTTCTTTCTCAGAGATTCTTCACATTTCTTTTGATAGTCATATATCATCCCTTTATTCGCATTGCAGGTATAATCTGCAAAGAAACCCACAGGAGATCATCACCTCCTTTTCCGCACATACGCCATAAAGCTAGGGTGCCACCCATAGCTATCAGCCCGAGTGGTATAGGAGTCGACAGGTTATTTCATTTATGAATGATTTTGATTCACCGGCTACCTCCCACATGCAAGCGTACTTAAGTACCAGGCTTGAAGGTCGCGTTTTTACTACGTCACGCTTTCGAGTATTACAAATATCCCATGCTAAAGTACCTAAAGTTTTAGCTAGCTCAGTCAGCGTTGACCGGACCGATCAGTACTTTCAGTCAGTCGGGGTTTGTCCCCTTCATCAACGCTGAATCATAGCGTGCCCGTGAGCCTCGCTCGATTCGAATACTAAGCGGCTTCCACAATCATTGCCAAATCCATTGCACGAAAGAACTATCAGCTTTGGAACTATTTCGATCCAGTGCGCGAACCTGTCGAGAATATCGATTTGACTTTCTTCTACATCGTGCGAATGCATCTTTCTCTTGGTTCTGTTTGCATGCCGTGAGGTGACGGAAAATTCCTGTATCAAGGCATGCTGTGCATACAGCAGAGATACCATGCTACCAGGCCTTTTATCGATTATCGAAATGTCGTCATGAAAATGCAGATTGTCTCAACCTACAACGGACACGCTTTGGATTGTTGTTTAATTTATTACTTACTGGTTTTGCTGTTTTTCAGGGCTCCCAATTTCCTTTTAATTTATTGATTTCGGTTGCTTCTTGTCGCATTTCCAGTGAAATTTATGAGACTACGAATTTACGTCGGTTTTACTCATGCTGTTCTATTTTAAAAGCTCCGGTCACTAATGTTGGCTCCCATGAATTATGAAATTCCAGTTAGAGATCCACACCTCACCTTCCTTTGATACTTTTGGCTATACTCTATCATTGTATCTTGTTGCGTTTTACGGGTAATATGTCATGTGGATCCGTACAGAGTATACTATTGTTAAACATCCAGTGAATTTACCCCATAGTTCATTTGGAGCCCTCCTGCGCAACTCATTTTCCACATAGCCCAGAGGGTAGTTATGCAGTTGCTTTTATCCGCTTGTCGATCGTTGGCTGCCTCGTTAGTGGGAATTCCCTCCATGTCCGACGGGACACCTCATGCCCGGACGGCATATGAGCCGCAAATGAGCTCTGTACAAAGTACCCTGGGTAGTCAGCGGTTCAAGCTTGAGATGGACTAAAATATGGCCCCGTACTTTTCGCTTCTGTCACGTTCCTCTCCGGTGTTTGACTTACGAACACCGGGAACCTACATTTTTGGAGAGTCTGAAAGACTTCCGGTTACGTTGCATGAAATAACGGTTGCTGGCTTGAAATAGACGCATCAACGCATGGCGGGCTACAATCCTCTTTGAGACGTTTTGCCCGTATCTGCAGAAGGACAAGCAAGAATAAGATGGAAAAGGAGATACTCGGGGTCCGAAATATAGCAGTTTGATCCTTTGAACCTAGATTTCCACCAGATTTCCACAAATGTTCCGAACTATTTCTCGCCTACACGCCGCTACCTTCGATTCCTTGCATCTGCCGCTTAACCCTTGGTCGTCCACCAGTTTTAGCGTTTGATCCTTTGGAGCTGATAGACGGCCTGTACTCCGAACAGAAACCTTGGACATTTCCCCAGTCCACGCTCCATGACTCGCATCATATTCCTGAAACGGCTGGATGCATGTACCCGAACAGGCTTCAAGCCTTTCTGGCAATGGCAACCAGCCACCCGCTTCTTAGCTAGTTGCATGCTGCCAGAATTTCTTCCTCCGGCTTTCCGTCGCGCCATTTGCTAAACCGCCGCCACGTGCAGCATGATGGCCTAAGCAACAATCCAACATGATTACCTCAGGAAGTGGCCTCGTTTGTCGCTTTTTCCAACGTATGGCATGGACAGTTTAGCCAACATCAGCTCGTATCTTTTCTGACAGTCCCAAGCCTACTTTTTTTTGAGAGGTGATGTATCACTTTCTTTTCTCTGATTCCGTCTTGGATAAATTTGCTATGGCCTTCTAAACGACGTTAACTTACCCTTACAGCAGAAAGTTACGTTCAGTCAGGGCTTACTTCTAATTATCATCACTTACCGATATCGGGCTTACTTTTCTCGTTCATGTGCATCGTCAAGTACTGGCATATTCAACTCTCCAGATGTACAGTAACTAATATCCGCAGCCCACATAGATAGAGTGCATGGGGATTTTTGGTTTGGCGCAACTCCCGCTCCACGGAGAACAACCCCCCGCCTTTTGCTCTCGTTAGGCCCGACGGACCAAAGGCCCTGA